GTTTCTCCTCATCCCCCATGTGTGCCCACTTTCGCAATGCGAATGCAACGAAGGGATGGCATAACGAGCCGCAATACTCTGGGAAAATACGCGCAGCGCTGCACTCGCGTCCACTTGATGTTGACATTGATTGTTGACATTTGCTTGTGCCTCGACGTTTATGTTTGACACCTTCCTCACATGCGACACATCGTATTGACACCTTTTTCCAAATGCAACACATCTTGTTGACATCTGCCACAAACGCGACACATGTTGTTGACACCTGTTCCAAAAGCGGAACATCTGGTTGACAGCCTCGAATGACACGTTTAGAACATGCGCAAATTTGGTCACTCTTGCTCGCAAAAGCAAATGCAACAATTTTATTCCCCACGGTGTAAAGGACTTAGGAAAACATCACCACCTCAACGCCAGGGATACTGAGCCCAACTGTGACGACAGTTACAATTTTCGCACGACCCGCTCGGATCGCCAATGTGGAATGTGGGCCCCATAAGGAGGCGGTTCCGGCCTCAGACCCCTTGACAATTTACTCGCAGACGAGGTACCTTCTTGAGACTTCGTCAAGATTCAGCCCCGAGGAGCACAAGCGTGACGACAGTGGCAGGAATCGCATGATTTGCTCGGATTATTTACACACATATCAAATGCGGGTTTCATGAAGAGGGGGCGCCTGCCCGAGATTTCTTTGAAAGTCAATTGCAGGCAAGGCTCCCGCTTGATCTTCTTTCAATTCAGGCCTGTGGAACACGACGACACTTACAAGCTTCGCATGACCCGCTTGGACTGCCAACATGAAGTGTGGGCCCCATGAGGAGGGGGATTCCTCCGAAGATTTCTTCGCAATTCATTTACATACAAGGCTCCCGCATGACACGTCCTTAATTTTCAAACTTCAGGGGCCTGAAATTGAGGATGGCCCGGTCGGATTCGAGAGTGAGGTGCGGGATCCATGAGAATGATGTTGGTGATGCTGATGGTGATGGTCATGGTGTGCTCGTGGGTGGGTGCGTGAGGGATCGATGGTTGAATGTGGGTGAATGACTACATGCGTGCAATGATGATGATGCTGCTGCTGGTGATGATGATGATAATGATGTTGATGATGATGCTGCTGATGATGATGACGATGATGATGATGATGATGATGATGATGATGGTGCTGCTGATGATGACAATGCTGATGCTGGCGATGATGATGATGATGATGATGATGATGATGATGATGATGATGATGATGATGATGATGATGATGATGATGATGATGATGATGATGATGATGATGATGATGATGATGATGATGATGATGATGATGATGATGATGATGATGATGATATTGCTGATGGTGATGCTGCTGATGAGTGTGTGGGCGAGCGAGCAAACGAGCAAACTTGCGAATGGGTGAGTGACTGAGCGAGCGAGTGAGTGAGTGAGTGAGTGATGATCGTGCGGCGGATGATGATGATGGTGATTTTGGTGGTGGTGGTGATGATGATGCTGTGGTTCCTTCCTGTTCCTGCGCGGGGTGCCCAGAGCAAACTCAGACCCACGCTTAGGATGTGGGGGGACATTTGTGGCGGGGATGTCGGAGGAGGCTGAACGTCGCCCAGGAATGTATGATCCAGGAGGTGCCGTGGGCCGTCTGGGGCGCTCTAGAGCTTGAAGAAGGGAACATCACTTGAGGGGAACCTGGTGTTTGGTGTTTGGGATGTGGGTTGGAGGCGTTGTATGTCGTTTCGATAACGGTCGCGGCAGGTTTGGATCGATCTCTGCCCGCTGGGGGGCCGTCTTCGGTCGTGCTCTTGCTGTTCTGGTCGGCAGGAATCGGAGCCCAGTAATATCTTTCTGGGGGCCCCGTGCAGCGTTCTTGAAGCCCCCTGGCCGGTTCGTCGCTCCTCGGGGTTGTCTTCCCTGTCGGGGAGATCAGAGACCGTCGTGGAGCTCCGACGAAGCCCCGAGTGGGTTCGCTTCGGAGGGCCCTGGGCACGCCGGTGGATGAAACCGTGGTTGTATCATGGGGCGTATGGTGGACTTCTGTGGGGCCTTGTGGGGGCGTCCAGTCTCGGCCTCAGCGAAGCCTCCGGAGGCATCCCAGGAGACATGTTGGGGGCCCAGGGCGCCATCTTCAAGGGAAGAGCTGGAGACTCCCTGTGGGGCTTTCTTGGGCCTTCCTGGGTGCCTCCTGGGGCCCTCTTGGAGGCCTCTTGACGTGCCCTGGGGCCGCCAGGGGTCTCCTGGGGGCGTCTGGGGCCGATCCGCGGGGCCCCGTGGACCGTCTTGATTGTCTCAAAACTAAGGATCCGAGGCGGGGATCTATCCATAACCATCGCCTGTGGCATCAATCTTCACGGACCTCCACAGGCGGTGGATATCCAGATCCACCGCCCGCTGGGGCACCAGGACGTTGGTTCCCAGGCCGTGGATATGGATAAGTCCCCGCCTTGCAAAGGAGGCGGAAATATGGACATCTTTCAAACATGTACGGGCAATGTGAGAATTTTGCTTCTTGCTGTGTGGAAGAAGATGCGCGCTTAATGGGTCGCTCGTGTGCTGCCGAATGGGTGGCTCGAGCGCGGGCAGGTGCTTCGCTGGTGTGGATCTGACGGGGTCGTGGGCACAGGCGAAGCAAGTTGCAGGGTAGTGCCGCGTCACATCGAGAGGCGCAGTCAAGACTCCGGAATGGCTCGCTGTCGAGCCGGTTGAGCTGAGATCCGTGGACGACACACGCATGGTGGCAACACATATTTGAGTACAGAGTCCAGCTTGAATACGGAACACTTACTTATCAAAAGGGGCTCGGTCGTTCCCTTGGTCTGCATGCGTTCCGCTACCTTTTCGGCGGCGAGCCCCCTCTCTGGTGTTCCTTCGGGCTTCCTTGATTTGCTCGGAGAAGAAGGGGCTTCGTTCCTCATTTCTTGTTCCTCAGGTCGGGCTGAAGACTGCATGTGCGTAAACGTTTACGCACGTGCAGTATTCAGCCTGACCTAGGGAACAAGACATAAGGAACGAAGCGCCTTTTCTCCACGTGAAGCAAGGAAGTCCGAAGGAACACCAGGGGGGGGGCTCGCCGCCGAAGGGGTAGCACATGCAGTCTTCAGCCTGACCTAAGGAACGAGACATAAGGAACGAAGCCCCTTCTTCTCCAAGCAAAGCAAGAAAGCCCGAAGGAACACCAGAGGGGGGGCTCGCCGCCGGAAAGGGTCGCGGAGCGCTCTTTTTGGGCGGGCAGGGCCTGCAGCGGGTGGCCGAGCGGGGGGCGTATAGGGGGAGAGGTGAGCGGGAGGCGTGGGGGGGGCAGCGCGTGCTCCTCGGGCTGCTGAGGCCCTGTTCGCTATCTGGTGTTAAGTCGGGGAAGAGTCGTCGTCGTCGTCGTCGTCGTCGTCGTCGTCGTCGTCGTCGTCGTCGTCGTCGTCGTCGTCGTCGTCGTCGTCGTCGTCGTCTGGCGTCGGGCGTCGGACCCGAGCCCCGCGCGGGCGGGCCGGGTCGGGCGGGCGGACCCGAGCGGGCGGGTTGGGTCGGGTGGGGCGGGCGGACCCGAGCGGGCGGCCCCGAGCGGGCGGGAGGGACAGTAGAGTGTGGGACGGAGAAATATTCAAACATAGAAGAAAAAAGAGTCTGGGGACGATACTTTTTGAATCTGTTTGAGCCACTTGAGCTCCAGCACCTGCTGAGCTCTGATGCCAGAACCATATCTCAAAACGATCCGCCCTCCCTTCGTGAAACTCTGGCAGAGACGAATATGCACGGCGCCACGGCGAGAGCCACATTTTGAACACCACCCGCCCTGAATCCGTGAAACTTGTTTAATTGTTCTGGAACGAATGTGCGCTGCGCTGAGGGGAGAGCCACATTTTGAAAACGAGCTGGCCTCAATCCGTGAAGCTCTGGCAAATGTTTGAAGCGAATGTGCGCGGCGCTGAGGCGAGAGCCACATGTTGGAAGCGACCCTCCCTCCATCTGTGAAACTGTTGCCAGTTTGTATCCGACCTTTCGACTGGCCTCGGGGTGCGACAGGGAGGAATTATTAATTAGGAGAAATAATGGAGGAGGAGAAGGATGATGATGATGATGCTGATGATGATGATGATGATGATGATGATGATGATGCTGATGATGATGATGATGCTGATGCTGCTGATGATGATGCTGACGATTCTGATGATGATGTTGATGCTGATGATGATGATGTTGCTGCTGATGATGATGATGATGGTGGTGATGATGATGACAATTCTGATGCTGGCGATGATGATGATATTGCTGATGGTGATGTTGCTGATGAGTGTGTGGGCGAGCGAGCGAGCGAGCAAGCTTGCGAGTGGGTGAGTGGGTGAGTGAGCGAGTGAGTGAGTGAGTCAGTGATTGTGATGCGGCGGGTGATGATGATGATGATGATGATGATGATGATGATGATGATGATGATGATGATGATGATGATGATGATGATGATGATGATGATGATGATGATGATGATGATGATGATGATGATGATGATGATGATGATGATGAGGAGGGAGGAGGAGGAGGAGGAGGAGGAGGCGGAGGAGGAGGAGGAGAGGAGGAGGAGGAGGAGGAGGAGGAGGAGGAGGAGGAGGAGGAGGAGGAGGAGGAGGAGGAGGAGGAGGAGGAGGAGGAGGACGAGGACGAGGAGGAGGGAGGGAGGAGGAGTATGAGGAGGAGGAGGAGGAGGAGGAGGAGGAGGAGGAGGAGGAGGAGGAGGAGGAGGAGGAGGAGGAGTAAGCAAGAGCGGAGGAGAGGAAATAAGAGCAGCTGCGGCGGTGCAGCTGAAGGAGGACGGAGGGGAGGAGTATTTGGAAGAGTGATGGTGGACGGGAGGAGGATAGTGGAAGTTTGGGGGGGAGATGGAGGCTTCAGGAGGTAGGAGGGCATGGGCGGGGGGGCTGACGGAGAACCTTGACTGGCCAGTGCGAGGGCGGCAATGAAGCAGCACATGTGTTGCTTCTTCTCGCCTGTGCGGGGCTGCTGTAGCTCCAGAGGAGCCCGCCCATGACCTGCGAGGACGCGGGGTGCGAGAACTGCTACAGCAAGCCAGGGCGCCCCCTCTCCTCAAAGGGAGGACCACCGAGAAGGAGGAGAAAGAGGAAGGCCAGGGGAGGAAAAGGTGGAGACTTCAAGGTCCTGGGACTAAACCTCCTGCACCTTGGCCACACGGGGCCACGCGAGCGACCGCGCGTGAGTTTAGGTTTTTGCGCAAGAGCCTCAGGGCCTCTTGGAGCCATATTGGTGTCATTTTGGATGCCGTCTGGGGGCTTCTGGTGGCCTCCCAGAGGCCTCCTGGGGGCCTCGTTGGGTATTGTGGGGGCCTTTGGAAGCTCCTTGGGAGGCTCTTTGGCCGTCAGAGGGCGTTCCTCGCCCGTCTGACGCCGTCTTGGGGCCGACTGGGACCCCTCTTGGAGCGCTTCAGGGCCGTCTTGGAGGCCATTCTGGGAGTTGGAGGTCTCCTGGGCCGTCTTGGGGCCCCCTGGGGAACATCTTGGGTACCGTCTTGATGGCCTCTTGGGCCGTACGGAGCGCATCTCGGAGGCCTCTTGGGCGCTCTTGGGGCCACCTCGGAGGTCTCTGGACCCTTCCTGGGCCGTCGGAAAGCAAAACGTCAGCAAACGCCCAAATCCTTCAAGCACCTACTGAACGTCACTGATGTTGGCCTCTTGCTGCCGTCCTGGAGGTCTTCTCGGAGGCCTCTTGGGCCGTCTTGGAGGCCTCTATGGCATTCTTGGGCGATCGAGAGGCCACCTAGGGCCATCTTGGGGGCATCTCGGGTTGCTTTGGAGACATCTTGCGGCCATCCCAGGTTCAAGATCGTTGGGACGTGAAAGTTTGGCGGCTCTCCGGGTGGCTCGCAAATAGTAGGCTGCAAGCCCTTGGGAACTTTCAACCAGAACCAACAACCACCTAGCTTCCAGCACGCCGTGCACGCAGATCACCGCCGCCCCCTGCCCTTTGGAAGCGCCCATCTAGCCGAACGTTGTGGCCAGAGCTCGGCTACGCTATCGGACTGCGTGTCCCCCCGGCCGTCGTGAGACCCCTCTGGGGAACACCTGGGAGAGGAAGGCGAGTGGGTCGAGGGAGGAACACGGAGGAGGCGGAACGGAAGGAGGAGGGCGCTTGGGAGCGTTTGGGGCACTCGGTGCCTCCTGGGCGGGGCCTCTCGGAGGCCTCTTGGAGGCCTCCCTGGGACTCTTGGATGCCTTCGGAGGCTCATTGAGGGGCTCCTTGGCCGTCGAAGGGCGCTCCTGGCCCGTCTGGCGCCGTCCGACGCCGTCTTGGGGGCCTCTCCGGGCCGTGTTGGCCCCTCTTGGGGCGTCTTAGGGCCGTCTAGGATGCCATTTTGGACCTCTTGGAGGTCTCCCGGGCCGTCTTGGGCCCCTCTCGGGGCCATCTCGGGCCGTTAGGGCGGCACCTCGGAGGCCTCTTGGGTGCTCCTGGGGCCATCTTGGGCCATCTGAGAGTCGAACAGGAGCGAACGTCCAAATCTCTCAAAAACCTCAGCTTCTTCGGACCTTCCTGGAGATCCTCTTGGATGCCCTTCTGGGCCGCCTTGGAGGCCTCGTGGGGGCCTCTGGGCCGTCTTGGGTGCATCTTGGGACCATCTTGGTCTCTCCTGGGGCCATCTTAGTCGTCTTGGAGGCCATCTTGGATGTCTTGGAGCCATCTGGAGCGGAACAATCCTTGCCCACTGAGTTTGTCGGAGCTCTCCGCTGGGAGCCTTGAACGCATTGTGTCAAAACAACCTGAAGTTTGGCACGCCGTGCACCATTGTGGCAAGCCAACAGGGGGCGGCGGATCTAGTGGCGTTCGGCCGAACCCGTCACCGTGCTTTGTTTGTGGGCGAGGTACGTCTTGGATGCGTCTCGGGGTTTCTTAGTTGGAATACCTACCGCTTGGGTGCAAGCTGTACGGCTCAAGTGCTACTCAAGTGGTTCCACTTGGGTAATACCCACCTCAGCGGGCGGCGATCGCTTGTGCATTGGTTGTGGGGGTCAGAGGCGTCTTAGATGCCTTTCTCTTGGGATGCCTTCTGGGGGATAGCCTCTTGGGGTCCCTTGGCGGCATCCTCGAGGAGATACGACCGCTTCGGGGCCACACGACGGGACCATACCGGGTGGCCGTGCGAGGCAACAATTCGGGGCGACCATTTGGGGGGACCATACGGCATTCCTGAGAGGGACCATAGAGAGGGGCCATACGGGAGGACCACACCAGGGACTCTGCGGGCGAAACTTTGTGCAGTGCAGGCGAATCGCAGAACTTCCTTTTCCGTCTCTCCTCCTCTTTCCTCCCGCGTGTTTGTGCTTATCTCCCCCCAATCGATTCCCAAACCTTCGCTCCGATCCACAGTTTTGAGCGCTTACTTGGCCACATCCTTTCACTTCCTGAGGTTCTAACTTATTCCACCCTTCCCCCGATCCCCGCCTCGCGCCGCAGCCGCCGCCCACTGCAAGAGCAGGATGTTCCGCACGGGTCTAGGGGAGCTTGGATGCTGGATGGCGCGGAGACAGGGTCAGCCTCGCGCAATCTTTTTAGACGCACCCCTGCTCCCTAGAAGGTGCGGGCCTTGTCTGTAGATGTAGGGCCAGCGCCTTTTAAGAAGCATCCTCCTTCTGAGAAGCCTTTTTACCTCCCCGTGCTCTCTTGTGGGCGTCGCCAGCAGTGGCTGATGTCATACGCTGCAACGTGCCGGAGGGACAAGTCCTGCGGATGGTCCAGTGGCCAGGCCATCCATCTCGGGGCTGCCACGGGCTGGGTGTTCCCCGAGATGATCACTGTGTGTGCGACCCGCGATTGTCATTGCGTGTGCGACCCTGTGCCCACATCGACCACTGTGCTCTCCGCCCGCACCCGACTCCTGCATTGATCGGGCCGGGCGAAAGGGGGGGATTGGGAAAGGGGGGGTTACGAAATTTGCTGCATGCAGCTGGTTTCGGCCTCACCGAGGGGCCCATTCCTCGCTACATAGCCGCCTCCGGCGCCGGGAGGCGCCGGGAAAATCAGCTACGTGAGCTGATTCTCAACCCCCCCCTTTGCTATCGCCCCCTTTCGCCTGGCCCGAATTGAGAGTGGCACGGGGCATCGCAGTGCCCCGCTGGGCCACCAGCCGGCGTGGCCTCTCGGGCACAGGTGCCGGCGTTTGTCGAACGGTTGTGACGGCATTCTTGCAGCCACAGGACGGTGGAGGAGCACGTGCTGCACGAGGGAAGAGAATATGAGGAGGATAGGGCAGGGATGGGTCATGTCATAGTGATGAGGGCTGGTGATGGTGGTGGCTCGGGGGAGGCAAATTAGTTCCTCCTATCCCTTCTCGTCGCGATCCTCCCTGCTCATCCCCTCGTTGCTTCCCACCTTCCTCCCTTCTCTCTCCTCCATCCTCTCCATCTACCCCTCGTCAGCTTTTGAGCGTGACGAGGTGCGTGTACAAGGAGGACGACCTGGCAGCTTTCGGGTCGTGGCTGGATCAGGGCGCGGCAGCCGCCGCCGCCGTTGTTCCCGCTCTAGCTCTTTCCTCTCACTTCTGCTTCCTCCATCGACCGACCGCCCGACCGAGGAACTCTTACTGCAATGCCGAGACCGACCGACCCACTCCCTCTCACGTTGTGTCCCTCCACCCTTACTGCACCATCCTTTCTGGCCCAACTCATGTTGGGCCTGTCGGCAGCGACCTTTGGCAGGACCTTGCTGCCGCGAGCCAAGATCGGCGTCGCCCAACATACTGATGCTGTGTGTGCGTCGCCCCTCCAGAGGCGACGCGCGCACCGAGAAGTCTGAATGTGCGTCGTGGCGGGCGCTTTCTGGCAACACCGTCGGGAAGCGATGTACTACAGGATGGGTATACTATATGTTCGGGTCGGACGCGCGCTTCCAAGGAGGGCATATACCCATCGGTCGTTGAGAGTAGGTATTTTTGGAGTCCGTGATTCCGATCTACCTTGAGCGTCTTCCTGCTTCAGTGATCGAGTGGCCTCACCTTTCCCGTCCTCCTTGGGGGCGGGCGGACACCCCCTCTACTTTCAGCGCCTTCCTACTTCATGTTTCTGCCTACCTCTTCCGACCGATGGCTTGTATTAGTATGCCCCTGTGCGTCCCACAGGAGGCTCTCGCAGCTGAGTGCAGGCGGCCTCCCACGCACCGCCGCGGCCCCCCGTCGCAGGCCTCTCCAGTGTTGGCGGCGCGGGGGCTGCGGCTGTGGGAGCACCGATCGGCTTTGGGTGGCGCTGCAGGCGCTGCAGAGACGCAGAGGCTGATGGGCCTGTTTTCCACCACCACCATAAGTTGGAGGGGGGAATGAGGTGGAGGACGAGGAGGAGGAGGAGGAGGACGAAGAGGAAGAGGAGGAGGAGGAGGAGGAGGAGGAGGAGGAGGAGGAGGAGGGAGGAGGAGGAGGAGGAGGACCCCCGTCCACTCCAACTTATGGTGGTGGTGGTGGTGGTTGTGGGAAACAGGCCCATCACAGGCCGCCCTCGACAACAATGGGCGGAGTCAGTGTGCCACCTAGAGTAACGGCTGTTTTGATCCATCCTCGTCTCGTCTATCATCTTCAGCTCGGCGCCAGCGTTTGGCTGTTCGTTTGCTTTGCCTACGCGTCCACTAGGATGCAAGGCTGCTGTACTGTACTGTTCTGCGGCGTTGCGGGATGTAGCCGAACTCTTGTCATCGAAGCAGAAAGCTCCGTAAACATAAGCTTTTGGCGCTCCGCGTGGAGCGCCACAAGTTTAGGTTTATGGCGTTTGTTCCCGGAAAGGGCTTAGGCCCAGGGTTCTGCATTGCGAACCCAGTATACACTACGAGGGGTTTTGGCATTGGGACCGCGAAGCCGGCGTAGCTTACAAGGGCTCGTGGCCCTGGGACCGTGCATCCAGAGGAAACTCCGAGGGATCTTGGCCCTGGGAGCGTGCATCCCGGGTCATTTGCTAGGGGTCTCGGCCCTGTGAGCGCGAAGCCAGCGTTATTTACGAGGGACTGTGGCCTTGAGAGCGCGAGTCCGGCGTAAATTTTGAGGGATCGCGGCCTCGGGCGCGCGGGCGCAGTGTAATTTACGAGGGTTCGCGGCTTCGGGGCCAGCGCTTGATCTTCAGGAAATTCCGGGAGGCCGAAAACCGCCCCCCGAGTACATGTCCCATTCCACGCCGAAAACCGCCTCCCGAAAACCCCCCCCCGAGTACACCACGCGGGAGTTTCCGCGTGGCGTCTCCCTTCCTGGGCGGGAGTTTTCGCGTGGTGTAAGGCCTCCGGGATTTTTTCGTGCGGTGTTGGGCCTCTGGGGGGCCCCCCTTCCCAGGCGGGAGCTTGCGCGCGGCGTCGGGCTTCCGGGGGCCTCCCTGGGGTGCGAACTTTTGTGCGGAATGGGGGGGGCTTCGAAGGATTGCAAAAAAACCGAAGGATTGCAAAAAAAAACCAGGATTGCAATCCTTCGTTGCAGTCCTGGGTTTTTTTGCAATCCTTCGAGGCGTGCCCAGGCAGGAGGGTTCGCGCGGCGTCGGGCCTGCCAGGGCTTCCCCTGCCCAGGGCGGGCGTTTTTTCACGCGGCGTCGGGCCCGCGGGGGCCCCCCGTTGGCGCGGGAGCTCTGGCACGTCCGCGGGCGGCGTCGCCCGGCACGTTGCCTGTCACGTTCCGTGGCGCGTCTCCCTGGTAAGGTCGTTTTTGGGAGAATACCCTAATGTTCTTCGTGCCTGTTGGGTGTTGTTGTGCATCCTGGGGATGGCATCCACGGATGTTCTGCATGTTTTGGTTGGCTGATGGTCTCATGTTTTTGAGGAGTGCTCTGGAGCCCGTTTCTTTATTGCTTGGGGCATGACGGGCGACGTCGCGCGGCGCGTCCCCTCCCCTGGCAGGTTCCGTGGCGCGTCCCCCTGGCACGCCCCGCGTTGCGTCCCTTGGCACGTCCCCCAGCGCGTCTCCTGGCGCGTCTCTCAGCCCTTGGCACAGTATCGCCACCATCGATATCTTCAGTATTGCCACTGCTCATCGCCCAATTGAGGTGCTTTGCAACGTTTCCATGCTTCACATTTCTACATCCCTTTCCAGGTTCGTGGGTCGGTCATGTTCCCAGAAAGGGCTCCGGCCCAGGGCTCTCTTTTAGTAGTTTCACCCCCGGTTTCGACTTGAAGCGGGCCGGCGAAATTATTTGCGATAAATACCAAGAGAAATCTTGTTTTGTTTGAGCATATGCGTTGCGCGCGTGCCCGCTCGAAGAAAATGTGACCCCTATCTCGGATCCTCGATAAATAACGGGGTCCGCAGACACACGTCTTCATATACAAAACACATAGGTGCGGAGCGTTTTGCGCAGAATCCGCGATAAAACATTCAGCATGGAGATTTCAAACACGTAGAAAAGTTTACATATTGCGTGCCCGCTCGAGGATGGTGCGTCCCGCTCGCAGGAATTTCGAGGATGTGTCGAGCCCCGCGCTTGTTTTGCAGAAGGAAAGTTGGCTTTTTGCGTGCCCGCTCCAGGACAGCGCACCCTGATGCCGCATGTCTGAGGATGTCTCCGGCGAAACGCTCGTTTTGTAGCGATCCCCGCCATGGGAGCGCGGACGCAGCGTAATTGACGATGGATCCTGCCCCTGGAGGCGCGAACCCAGTGTAATTTACGAGGAATCGCGGCCCTGGGAGCGCGGACGTGGCGCAGTTCACGAGGGAGCGCGGCCCCGGAAGCGCGGACGCAGCGCAGCCGACGAGGGGTCGCGGCCCGGCCAGGGCGGACGCAGCGTCATTTCAGAGGGGCCCTGGCCCTGTCGAAGGACGCATGCAGAATGACCGCCGGGCGCCCGCGCAGGGCCCGACACTTTGTGCCGCAGCGGTGCGCAGTGCAGTCTTTTTTTTTTGCCGGGGCAGGGACGGCGGCCTGCACGTGCCAGGCCACACGATGCCCCGCCGTCACCCTTGTTGAGTCCTCCTCCGCCTCCTCCTCCTCCTCCTCCTTTAAGTCGGGCCTGTCCCTCTACAGGGGGGAAATGCAAACATCGAAGCCAATGGCCCCAGCCAACTCAACCTGCCAACCCGTCCAGCCAGCCGGCCAGCCCACCCAGCCACCCCGCCACCCAGCCAGCCCGTCAGCCAACCAGCCCAGCCGCCCACCCCGTCATCCCGCCAACCAGCCGATCCCCTCCGCCTGCTCTCCGTGCGCAACCAGCCACCCTGCCAACCCGGTCTCCCCGCCGCCTGCCCTCCGTCACCGCCGAGAGGGGGGGGAAGTGTTTCTTACCGGCGAAAACCAGAAAACTAGCCCGCCCGGGGACCGGCGGGACAGCGAGGAGGGGGCAAATCGCACCGTACTATGCAGGACCGGGAATGGCGGGGGGGGTGCCCGACACGGTTTTGGGCCTCAATTGTGTAATTGTCGTAATTTTTCAACGTCCACCGCGCCTTCTTTCTCAATGGGAAGGCTCCCATCCTTGAAACTGTCGCCAATTTTGAGGCCCCGCGCGTGGCTTTTTAGAGAGCCGCCAAGAGGCCCCAGGAGGTCTCAGGAGGCAGCAGGGAGTTCCAGGAGGCTTCAGGACGTCCCCGGAGGCCGTGGGAATCCTAAGGAGGCTCCAGGACGCTCCAGGAGGTCCCAGGATGCCCCGCGAGGTCCCACAAAGCCCAAGGAGGTCCCATCACGGCGTATCCTGAACGACCCAAAAGTTCCAGAACGCTGCGGACGCCCCTGGAGGGCTGAGGATACCCTAGGAGAGCCCAGGAGGTTTCAAGAGGCGCAGGAAGTCCCCAGAGTTTGCTATCCCAGGAGGCCCCCGGGATTACCAGGAGGCTCCATGAGGTCCCATGGTCCATCACGCCCGAGGTAGGGAGGGGGAGGCGGAGGAGGAGGAGGACGTGGAGGAGGAGGAGGAGGAGGAGGACAAGGAAAAGGAGGAGGAGGAGGGGGACGAGGAGAAGGATGAGGAGGAGGACGAGCATGATGAGGAAAGGATCAGCAGGGTGACAGCGTGACGTCCCAGCAAATACACTTGGTCCAATTGGTTTCTACCCCCGTGAGGGGCGTTGCATGGTAGTCAAAATAGTCAGGGAATATTTTTTAGTATTTCTGGGTATGTTTTTAGCATTTTTGGAGTATTTTTTATTTTTCGTCCAGAATCCTCCCCCTGTAGGGGGACAGGGCCGACTTAAAGTTGAATATAGAATGATCGCGAGGCGTCCGAACATGGCCCGCATGTCAGCGTCTTTTTCCCATAGGGATGACGAGGGGGGGGGGGTCATCATTGCACCTGGTTTGTCGCTGGTCGGGAGGGGGAGGGGTTGTGGCTTCATCAGGAACAGGGATCAATCCCCTGCAGTGGGGAAACAGAGGATTGGAAGAGAACGCGCCCTAACCAGCTACGCTCCTAGTTTTGAAGGGAATCTGCGCTGCAACGCAGGACGACATAGCGTCTTGTCCCATCATGTGGCACGTATGCAAGAGATCACGCACGTACGCGTGACTATGCGATAAGCAGTTTTTTCGGATAATGTCAAT